CTCAGGGGCCTGAAAACCCCGAGGATGACCAGTCTGATTATTAAAGACTGAGGCAAAGAAGGCTTTAAGTACCTCAGCCTTCTCTTTATCCTTTGTGGCACGGTTACCTTCTTTATCCACCAAGGGAAGGAGATTCTCCCTGGCCCTCCTTTTGTCACTGACATATTTATAAAATCTTTTTTTGTTGTCTTTAACGGCAGTGGCCAGTTTAAGCTCCAGCTGTGCCTTCACCTTTCTGATCTTCTCCCTGCATATCCTCACATGCTTGTAGTCCCCCTGAGTTGCCTGCCCCTTCTTCCAAAGGTGGTAGGCTCTCCTTTTTTTCCTGAGTTCTAGCTAAAGCTCTCTGTCCAGCCAGGCCGGTCTTCTCCCCCGCCTGCTCGACTTGCGGCACATGGGGACGGCCTGCTCCTCTGCCTTTAAGATTTCCTCCTTGAATCATGTCCAACGAGACAGCCTACTTCATTGGTGCCAGCTGTCTGGCAAAATCGTCTGCGAAGAGGCACTGTAGAGCTGTAGATGACCTAATTAATATATATCCAGTACATGTCAGGATACAAGCAAAGAGTCTGTTTTCTGTTATGATACCATGTGACGTGCATGGCCAAAGTGTAACTGCTCTAGCAGCATCATGGATACATATCACATAAAATAATGGGTACATATGGCTATTTTAACTTGATACTGGGAGCACAGATCAGCTTTTCTAGGTGAAGGAATGTGCTCCTGGCTTGTTCACATGGCATATCTAATGTCTGGCCATACAATGAAAAAAGATCTGGAGAGTATCACAGTAAAAATGGGGTAAAGAATAGGCTGGGGTCCAAATGAGTTATTGTGTTTATTTGCAAATCCATTTGCTTGTGTCTGATTTGAGGTTTAGATTTATTGTTTATGGTCCTGCTCCTGCAGAAACCTTTGTTCACACATATCTTGGGAGTAGCGGTATTTAAATGCTTAAAGTCTGTGCAGAATCAAGGCATTTTTTCTGCGTAGTCTGAAGGCCTGTATTATTCATCTAAAGTAAAATGGGAAATGCTATTAATCTAACTTAGATTTCACAAATTAGGAAACAATCAGGTAAAGACACAGAACGAGAATATAAACCTTTTTTGTAAATTTTTCATTCTTTGTAAGAAGTCTAATCGTTTTGGCTTTTTTTTTTCTTTTCTTAATTGCAGGTAGCCCTACTGTTTCTGGTATGTCAGATATGGATTATCCTTTGCAAGGACCAGGTTTGCTGTCAATACCTAATCTTCCAGAGATCAGCTCGGTCCGCAGAGTCCCACTTCCCCCAGAGCTAGTGGAGCAGTTTGGACGTATCCTGATGAAAAATAATGTGTTAGGTTGTGTAAGTCATTATATTAGAACTGAACTTTTTTCTTCCATAATCTTCTTCCCTGATCTTTCTGTCAGACTGCCAGTAATGAACTTTGATATTGTTCACATTCCCTTTATAAGGCTTCAAGTGGTAACAAGGTCCATTTGTGTAGAGTTGCTGGTGGAATTAGTTTCTGTATGAAGAACTTTGAATGTTTATGGTACATCGCTTATGTACTACTGTATATAAAATAATATTAATTTTTTTTAAATGCCCCCAAAGGGATTTTGCCTTTGCTAGCCAAAATACATTTAGTCCTTACATCAGCAGTGCTTCAGATATGCAGTGCAATTGTATGATGGGAGTATTTCCAGAAATCAGCAGAGCTTGGCTGACTATCGACAGTGACATTTTTATGTGGAACTATGAAGACGGGTATGTAGAGAACACATTTCTGATGATTTTTTGTTGGTATTATACCAGAATTAAGCGATTGCAGTAGGGGGAGATGGTTTACTGATAGCACAGAGGTATGCTGTTCAGTTTAACTTATTTTGATTCCTTTTAGGTTTTACTAAAAGATTTGAATAATAAGTGTGTAAGGATTTTTAAGAGCTAGTAATATTGCTGCCAAATCATCTAGGGATGAAGGAAAGGAAAATGTAGTTGCTTAGGGTTAGACATAGCTCATATCCTAAAGTTATTGCTGTATTTATGCCAGGGCTTTGCTTATGCCAAAAAAGTAGAAAAAAATTATACTAATTGCCTAACTTTTATAAGTAGATTTAGTAAGTACTCTGATGCATGTACAGTGGCCAGTCATTCCCACAATGGTAAGTAATACAGCATTAGTACTTTGACGTATTGTGATTGAAGCTCTCCTGCCTAGCTTATTTTAAGGATGCATGAAACTGAAAATAATTTCATTATCTTTTCAAATAGCAGTGATATGTTTACAATTTGCAGGTTTGCTCTTTATTCACCTATATAGTAAGAATTCTTTTACTAAGAATTGCTTTATACATATAGTTACATTTCATAATAAGATTAAAATTCAGGTTGTGGCTCACATAGCTCCTATCCATATGATTATATTGTGTCACAGTGTATTAAATGCGTTCCCCAAATAAAACAACACTACATGGTGTTAATCATAAGGTGCTGGGGAGGAGGCTGGGAATTCTTGCTTTAGATTATTTTCATGGGAAAAAAAAAATCATTTAAGTTCCTCACTCTTGATGTTTAATCAGCATTGCAGATGCTGCATTATGTAATTCAGAGTAGACTCTATTAATTAATAAAATCCAAAAATATGAAATACTGCAGTTGGGTTTCAGGTTTGAAGCTCAGCTATAGGGGTTCCAAGCAGCTCAAATGATTGCCTATATAGTTTTGCTGTGAAACTTCTCTGTCGTTTCATTCTGCTGGACCTGCTTTCATCCAGAGCAAAAGACGTAGATGGCTTCAGAGTGTTACAATAAGTATTAATGTACGTGTATGTACATGTACTATGTATTTAAGTGTACAGAAACTGATTTTATATACGTTGTTATTATGTGATACTATGTGACAAGTTTTATGCAGGGTTTGGTTGTTTTTTTTCTTCTTTGTTGACAGGGGAGATCTTGCTTATTTTGATGGCCTTAGTGAAACTATTCTTGCAGTGGGTCTTGTAAAGCCAAAGGGAGGTAAGGAATACACGACAGTGACTAGAATTAGGCAGTTACTGAACCTTCTATACATGTTTTTTTTATATATGCATATGTGAACATCTGTGGTTTGTGTGTGTATGTGTATACACATGATGCATGGATTTGTTTCATTTTTAGAAACATAATGAAATTAATTACAAGCCAAAAATAATGTATTGTTTAACAGCCATTTGCACTCATAAGCTTGCATTTTTTTGCCACATCGTACTCTAACATCTGTACTGTTTATAAATTTATACATTCAAGTGACAACTTTCATGAGATCCTGATTTATAGCCCTCCCAGTTCTTTTGGTAGCTACTGCTTAGATAACATTGAAGTCAAACTTGAATTGGCAATAGGGTTGAATTTAAAAGAAGCACATTTATAAGAAAAATGTCATTTTAAAGATGCTATATTTCATGAACTGGAAGCTGAACTGCTGATTGATACTCCTTTCTAATTCTAGAGTTTCACAGATCATTAGGTCTTAAATATGACTATTCCCTCTAATCACTCAATGTGCCTTTACAATGGATACATTGGATACGTTATTGTGGTCTGAGAGGTTGGCTGCAAACTAAAATTTTATTTTCTCGCCTTCTTTAGGTATCTTCCAGCCTCATGTACGACACTTACTTGTTCTGGCTACCCCAGTGGATATTGTGATTTTAGGGCTCAGCTGTGCTAATATACAAGCAGGTAATTTTTGCTTCTCCTCTCGTTCTCAGTTGTGCATTGACAAGTATACATGGCTGCTTTATTAGTAGCTATTTAAGAAAGAAAAACAAAAAACAAGAAAAACAAAACCATGTGCTAAGTGCTTTGCTAATTTTTAAATCACGTTACAGACGGGGGAAATAATTTTTATGGTGTGTATGCTTGTTGGATCGTGGACTCTCATAGGAACGTTGAGTTGTATTATTCACCTGTTTAACATAAAAAGATCTACTGAAAATTAACAGCATGTTGGAGAGGGAGAGAAGAGATGAGTATGAATCTTGGAACTGGTCAATCCAGTTCACTAACCTGTTGGCATTTGTATTCCAGCCGCAGAAATTGAGAACCTGATTCCATTTTTTTATGCCATTTATATTAAGAGAGAAAATGCAGAATGGTTTGGAGAAAGTGAGAGGTTTACAATCTTTTGCTCTGTTTTTATACTATCTTGATGTGAAAGAGAAAAAAAGTAGAAATCTGAGTTTTAGACCTGTCACAATTTAGCAGGGATGACAGCATATAGAAATGAAAAACATTGCATTTCCTTACTTGGAAAATTTTAGGGGAGAATTCTTTTTTTTTTTTTTTTTTTTTTTAAAAAGAACAGAAGCTTTGTTACTCTGCAGTTTACTTTGGAGAATAGCTATTCCAGAATGTGTTTAGTAATATGAAATTAGCTGTAATTTTTCCTGCTTTCCAAAATGCTTCTTATCACAGACCTGTAATATTTATTAGAACAACTTAAAAACTAAAGAGGATTTGTTTGTTTGTTTATTTATTTAAGGTACTGGATCTCTCAATGACAGTATGTCAGGTGGAATGCAGCTCCTACCAGACCCTCTCTATTCGCTCCCTACAGACAATACTTACATTCTGGCAATAACATCCACTGATAACGGGCGTATCTTTTTGGCTGGAAAAGATGGCTGCTTATATGAAGTAGCATACCAGGTGACTATAGGTTTTACGCACAGGCATTTTTCATTGTTTCGTGGTTGTGGGATCTAGGCACTGAGAGTTCTAAAACGTGAGGTTTGCCATCTTTTTTCTACCATGATTATGTTGCATGGCTTGGTTGCACAACAACTCTGATGTCTTAGTGTAGATGCATTTTCTTTGAAGTAGTCGTAATTATATGAGGAATAACAATGCAGCTTTGGTCAGCTTCAAAAATTAAAATTCTGACATCCTGTACCCTTTTGTGTGTACAATTTTCTTTTAATGATGACCTATCTCTTTCAATTGAATAGTACATACTTTTTCAATTAAGTCAATGATGTGTAGTTAGATTTTTACTTGTTTTCATACTTGTCCTGTTAACAACTTTTTTTAATATAACTACTAGTTTGGATTTTGTTTTGGTTTTTCTTTCAATGCTGTATTTATTTTAAATTGTAGGCTGAAGCAGGCTGGTTTAGCCAGCGCTGTAGAAAAATCAATCATTCAAAGAGCGCGCTGTCTTTCCTTATTCCTTCATTGCTACAGTTCACATTCTCAGAGGATGGTAAGTACTGATGTTAAAGACTTACCCAGTAGTATAATGTAACATTTTAAATAATATTACCAAGAAGTCAGACTGCATAGTTTCCTCATTCAGAGTATTTAGTTATCGTCAATGAAACTTGCAGTGGCTGAAGATTATAAAAATCAGGTCACTTGTTTATGTGTCTAGTTCAGGATAGTTTCTTTCAAAGCCTGGAAAGTTTGACATTTATGACTAAAGTTAATGTTAACTTACAATTAATTATTTTATAGATACTCTGTCTTAAACTTGTTTTCACCAAATCCAGTGTTCATTTGCTGGTTCTCCCTTTTTCCCCTGACTCCACAGATCCTGTAGTTCAAATCGCCATTGACAACTCTCGAAATATCTTATATACCCGCTCAGAAAAAGGAGTGCTGCAAGTATGTGACCTCTTCTAATGACTGTTGGCTGTGTTACTATTGTGTATATAACTTTTTATGTTTTCCTCAGTACCTGGAAATTCTCTGTAGGTATGTCAGGATATTATTCCAGGTTTTGTTTTTTTTTTTTTTTTGCAACAAAGTGT